TCAGGCCGTGATGGGAAGAGGGTGTTGGACATGCCTCATTATATTGCCACTCTTTTGGAATTCAGGAATAACCAACCACTACTAACAACAACACAGACCTTAAGTCTGATAAGAAACATTTACATCTCTTCTCTATCAAGCCTGCTACCTGGAGGCTTCATCTGCATGATAAAATCTTGGCCTCTACAAGCCCTTATTATAATCCAGAAATTTTTTTTTTATTATTGATAACTCTTTCAAACAATTGCCAATCAGCACATTTTAAAATCTATCTGTGATCAGCAAGCTTCTGCTTTATCTCACCCTTCCCAATTGAACCAACATAAATCTTACATGTATTGATTGATGTATTATGTCTCCTTAAAATGTCTAAGAGCAAGCTGTACCCCATTGGACATATGTTTTTAGGACCTCTCTGAAGCTGTACTGCAGGTGCATCTTAACCTTGGCAAAATAAGCTTTCTAAATTGATTGAGACCTGACTCAGATACTTTTGGGTTCACTAAAATTGACAACCACGGAGGGATTCTGAGTGGAGGTGCCCCTGACCTTTGCTTTGTACCAGCTTGAGCTATCGTTATGGCTGAGGTTTGGTAGCCCCCACCCACTCCAGGGAATCCCTGATCTCCCAAAATTTGGTCAAGATCTGAAGTTTATTTTTCTCTACAACACCTCTTTTTGAGTTTTACTTGCTTCCAACAAATAAGGCAAGTTTTCCTGCTTCTATGAACAGTGGAGAATATTCAACTCCTTTCTGGAATTTCAGCTAATTTCCAACAGGGAAGGCAAGTTTGAGCTTTTTTTTTTTTTCCTGCTTCTAGTAGACAGCAGTCTTGAGCCAGGGCCTCATTCCTAGATAAGTACCTGAATTGGTTTTTTTGTTTTGTTTTGTTTTTTTGTTTTTTGTTTTTTGTTTTTTTTATCTTGGAGATTTTCCTTAATAACTAAAAATTAAAATTGATAACCAGCTAGTCTTAATTTCTCCTTAGTATTAGAGTGCTCGGTAATTGTATTGTTGGGTTTCTTTGTTGTTCTGGTATTTCTCTCATCCGATTTGACCAACTCTACCCAAATTGGTCAAATTCAAATGAGAATTCCGAATTATGAGGATCCAGGCCTCTGAAGTTGCTAAAATTCCTCATAGCTGAAAAAAAGAAAACAAACAACTTATGCCCTCGGTTTCTGTTGTAGTTTCCTGTCTTAAAAAGACAATTGTTCTTTCATTTACTTTCTTTCCACCCTAATCCTTCTTCCCCTTCCACTATCTGTAGTACCAAAAATAGTCTAGAAAAGACATCAAATGACTTGAACCCCTTAAAGCACCCAGAACAAAGGCATTTCTCACTCTTTGTTTCTTTGTGGAGCTTCAAGAGTTGTGGGCAGATTCTTCTTAAGGTTTAAAGTGTTCTTATTCAAAGGTAAATAATTTTGTCTAATTCAGGGGTTATTTAAGGATTATATATAAAATGAGATAAAAGGGACCAGGAAATAACAGATGTAAAGAAAGTTATAGATATAAAGACGTATTTTGGTAAGAAAGCTTAAAAGAAAAGTAATATCATATGAGAAAGAATTTTGCGTGGTGAGTTTTTGTCCTAAAATAAAATCACTCGTTGTTCAAGAAAGAGAAATATTTAGAACAAACCAGAAAGTCCAAGAATGGTCTGTGTAAGTTGTAATAAGGTTAGTAAAACAGGAATTTATAAAAATGTTATGTGATTAAATCAGCTATAATTAAAAAGAGTGATAATAGTTTTTCTAAAAATTGAAATTTGATATTAAAAATACACTCATGCAACACCAAAAGATAGGCTGGAATTGATTAGAACAAGATTTTATAAAAAATATTGATTTACTCTTAATGTAAGAACTCTAAAATTTTTGAATTCTATAATCTGTTTCTTTTTGAAATTATACAGATTGATATCTCAAAACCTATGCCCTTCTGCTTCAGTTTGTTCTCTCTTTTGAGAAGGCCTGGAATGGTAACTCTCTCCTTCAACTTTTTTTTGGCTCTTTTAACTTTTAATTTTAATTTTTGTTTTTTTGAGGCAGGGTCTCACTCTGTCACCCAGGCTGGAGTGCAATGGCACGATCTCAGTTCACTGTACCCTCAGTCTCCCAGGCTCAAGAAATCCTCCTGTAGCTGGGACTACAGGTGTGCACCACCAAGCCACGCATGTTTTTGTACTTTTAATAGAGATGATGTTTCATCATGTTGCCCAGGCTGGTTTCAAACATGTAGACTCAAGTGATCTATCTGCCCCAGCCTCCCAAAGTGCTGGGATTACAGGCATGAGCCATGGCATCTGACCTAACTTTTTAAATTAATAGTTGAAACTAAGTAACAGAATTTTTGAAAACAAGCAAATGAAAAGTATTTTGGATCTGCTTTAGTCTGTATATCTCTTATAGCTATATATTTATATGTGTCATGTAGAAGTGATATTTCATTACCAAATTATATGAAGGATCTCTAATCACTTGGCTAAAAGAAAAGTGCTTTTAAGACTGATAGAAGCTACCTCAGATGCTTTTTAATTCACATGATCTTAGTAGTTTTGCTAAGACTAATTTGGTAAATTTAATCTCAGTATTACCTCCGGTAGTTTAAAAACCAAGTCTCTTCTGCCAAGGAGCCAGTAAAATCAAAAGCAAGTTAGTTACTTCCTAGATACAACGGGGGTACAGGCGTTGAGTAAATACACCTATTCCAAATGAGAAAAATTGGCCAAAATGAAAAAAATAGAGGCCCCATTCAAGTTTGAAATCCAGTGGGGTAGCCAAATCTTAAAGCTCCAAAATGATCTCCTTTGACGGCATGTCTCACATCCAGGTCACAATGATGCAAGAAGTAGATTCCCATGGTCTTGGGAAGATCCACTCCTCAGACTTTGAAGGGTACAGTGCCCTTTTTCTGGCTGCTTTCACGGGCTGGTATTGAGTGTCTGTGGCTTTTTTAGATGTACGGTTCAAGCTGTCAATGGATCTACCATTCTGGGATCTGGAGGATGGTGGTCCTCTTCTCACAGGTCCACTAGGCAGTTCCCCAGTGGAGACTCTGTGTGGGAGGTTCAAGCCCACATTTCTCTTCTGCACTGCCCTAACAGAGGTTCTTTATGAGGGTCCTACCCATGCAGCATACCTCAGCCTGGACATCCTGGTGTTTTCATACATCCTCTGAAATCTAGGCAGAGGTTCCCAAACCTCAGTTCTTTACTTTTGTGCACCTGCAGGCCAAACACCATTGTGTTAGCCGCCAAATCTTGAGACTTACACCCTCTGAAGCAATGGCCTGAGTGGATGTTTGATCCTTCTAGGAACTGTGGCTGGGACCCAGAGGACCAAGTCCAAAGACTGCATAAGAAAACCATTTTATCCTAGGCTTCTGGGCCTGTGATGGGAGGAGCTACTGTGAAGACCTCTGACATGGCCTGGAGACATTTTCCCTATTGTCTGGGTGATTAATATTTGGCTTCTCATTACTTATGCAAGTTTCTGCAGCCACCTTGAATTTCTCCTCAGAAAATGGGCTTTTCTTTTTTATCACATCATGTGGCTCCAAATTTTCCTAATTTTAATGTTTTGCTTCCCTTTTAAACATAAGTTCCAATTTCAAACCATATCTTTGTGAATTAATAAAACTGAATTCTTTTAAGAGTACCCAGGTCAACTCTCGAAAGCTTTATTTTGAAATTTCTTCCACCAGATACCTTAAATTATTTTTCTCAAGTTCAAATTTCCACTGATCTCTAGGGCAAGGGCAAAATGCCACCAGTCTTTTTGCTAAAGTATAGCAAGAATCAACTTTTCTCCAGTTTCCAATAAGTTCCTCATCTCCATCTGAGAACACTTCAGCCTGGACTTTACTGTCCATATTACTATCAGCATTTTGGTCAAAGCCATTCAACAAGTCTTTAGGAAGTTTCAAACTTTCCCACATCTTCCTGTCCCAGAAGGGTGATGAAAATATTTGGATGGTTCATAAGAAATGAAATAAATAAAATGAAAATTGATGGGGTTGAAACAAAAGTTTTTACAACACTATCAAAGATTGGGTGGACCAAAGTGAACCCCTGCAGGTCCTCCCACATTAAATGACCCCATACCAGTTTTCTGCATTTGCTCCAGATTGGGGAAACTGAAGAAACATCAAAAGGCAAAGGTTATAATGAGGAAGCTGACATTGCCTGGGGCAGTGCTGAGGTAAATTAAGACAGAGATTAAAAAAAGAGCCCAAGTCCCTTGGCTCAATCCTCTGCTGGGACCCCAAATCCTTTTTCACCAGAAAAGGTAAAACGGTCTAGGGGTAGAAAAGAAAAGTTCTTGGGACCAGAACATAAAATTATACAGGTCGATAGGACTATGAAATTTAAGATGTCTAAACAGCTCTTATGAAAGGTAATTTTAACTCCTTTACCCAAATGTCTTGTGAAAATGGGTATTGTATCTGATTAGGGGGCGTTTCTCCTGTCTAGTACTATGAAACTGAAGTCATGTAAATCTGCCCTTTAAGGACTGTTAGTTGGACACACTAAATGGAAACTAGTAAGATTGCCTGAGCCTACAGAATGTAGGGTAGAAGCTGAAGGGCTAGTAGGAACCAATTCTCCACTTCATATCCCTTTGTGGAGTGTTTATTAGGGCTTATGGTAAAATACTGTGAGCACTTCCTAATGAAAAATACTGGACTAGAGTATTTCCAGTTGAGGAAATTTACTGCCTTGTTATGGAATGTTAACTGAAGCTACCCCTTTGCTAGTAGAAATAATGGTGCCCCAAAGAGTTCTATAATAAAATAAAAGTTGTTTACATAGGATCTTGCTACCTGAGGATGCAAAGAGGAGATACTTATGTGCAGAGAGTGCTCTTTTCCCCTGAGTCTAACTCTGTGAGGAGCTGCTAGATTCTACAGTGCCTGATAAACAGCTCTCATATGACAAGAACTGCTTTGTTGTAACCCAGATATTATTTTCTGTTGATAATAACTCTTCCAACCAATTGCTATAAATGGCAATTCTAGGTGAACAAAGGACATGTTGTTTGGAAGGCTGATGCTCTGGTTAGAGAGTCAAGGAAATATTTTTCTTCTAAATTATTTATTCTTTAGAGCAATTGAGTGAAGTATGATTTTATGATGAAATTTATCTTTCTCTCCAAGTTCTCCAAAATTTGGAAACCGTGAGTATTCTGGTTTTATGACAATATAGTTATTCGCATAAGTTTAGTAAGAGTCTTGTTTTAGAACAGAACAATTGGAGACACTGGTCATTTTACCAAGCCTTTGACTAGAATAACATATTTTCGGGTAAATTTCCAGCAAAGTCAACTTAAAAAGAGCCTATATGATAAGTCAAGTTCTTGCTGCACTTTATGTAAACAATCAGGCCAAATATAATATGCCTAACACTTATTTTTACACACAGACTGGCCTTACTATAATTTTTTCAAAGGAAAAGTTTAACACTTGTTACTAGATTTCAGCCCCAACTTTTATTTTTGAATGCAGATTGAATCATGAATTATTTCTTGGCTATAATAATCCTCTAAAGAATAGCAGATTATACTTTTTCTTCATATTTTTAGTTGAATCCCTAATGGAATAGCTTCCTTTTTTCATTCTGACACACAAATACTCTTTTGATTGACAAACTATTAATGTTATTTATTTCTCCTTGTTTTACTTCCAAGGAAACCGGAATCATGGTATTCTCAAGACTAGAGATGCAAATCTCTCATTTGGGATCCCACTGGGCATGATCTATTTTTCACTGCAAATGCCCTGCTGTTAAGACTATACAGGTACCCTTCCTCTAGGTCTATGGGCTGTTGCAGACGAGGTGGGTGTGTGAGATTGTGAGGGCTAGGTTGAAGGAAGTGAGTTAGTTCAGATCACCCAAATCAAGGATAAATACACAGATGCTTAAACAGCTGGTGAAACAAAAGATTTTGCCTTCTGAATTATTATGTGGCACCTTTTCATCCACCCCAATCATAAAGAATTTTATGATTTTGTAGAACTAAAAGAAAATAATTACTGAGAGGATAAAGATACCTTGTGACAAAGCCTTTTGGGTATAAAACTCCCAGTTATGAGTTGTGCAGATAGACATATATGCATTTTTAAATTTTATTTTCATTTATTTCTTTTTTGAGACTCACTCAAGGTCTCACTCTGTTACCCAGCCTGGAGTGTAGTGGTATCATCATGGCTTACTGCAGCCTTGACCTTCTGGGCTCAGGTGATCCTCATACCTCAGCCTCCCAGGTGGCTGGCACTATAGGCATGTACCACAATGCCTTATTGTATTTTTTTAGAGTCAGGGTTTTGCCATGTTGCCCAGGTTGGTCTCAAACTCCTGGGCTCAAGTCATCAACAAACCTTGGCCTTCCAAAATCCTGGGAATATAGGTGTGAGCCACTGCGCCCAGCCAGTATATATTAATTTTTTTTCAGAGCAATGCTTATGTTTTATGTATCTAATTGCTATAAGTCTGTAACTAAAAGCAAGATTATAGTAGCTCAATGCATAGACGTTAAAGATAAGTCTATTTTGTAACCTGGCCTTGGCTTTTTGTTTGCTGGCTTTTTACTTAAAACAATTAAGGGGTAATGAATACTTGTCCATGTCCATTCCTATCTGGCCTAGAACATTTAATTCACTATAAGTCTTTTGACTCTATATCCCTTGGCCATAGGAGGTCCCACTGAGGGACAAGGTAGATCTCAGTCAGGTAGCCATGCCACCCTGACAATGAAATGGGACAAAATAAAAATTTGGTAGACATTGTTGTTGCCTCTGGCAAACCTTAGCTGGAAGAGGAAGAATGTAAAGCAAAAATAAAATTCTAAGGACCTCAATCATCTGAATGGACCCTTTCTCTCAGCCAAAGGCATTCAAAAATTAACCTGAAAAACAAGCGTAGGCCATAATGGAAAGCAGCGTGGGTCAGACACACCTCACTGTACCTTCCTCCCTTTTGGAATTTAGGAAAAACTAGCGGGAACTAACATCAGCACAGACTTTAAGTCTGACAAGAAATATTTACATCTATTCTTTCTGAAGCCTGCTACCTGGAGGCTTCATCTGCATGATAGAATCTTGGTCCCCACAAGCCCTTATTGTAACCTGGATATTATTTTCTATTGATAATAACTCTTCCAACCAATTGCCAATCAGCACATTTAAAAATCTACCTATGACCTGAAACCCCCCACTTCAAGTTATCTTGCCCTTCCAGATTGAACCAGTGTAAATCTTATGTGCATTGATTGATGCATTATGTCTCCCGAAAATGTATAAATCAAGCTGTACCCTGACCACCTTGCATACATATTGTCAGAACATCCTGAGGCTGTGTTATGGGCATGACCTTAATCTTGGCAAAATAAACTTTCTAAATTGATTGAGAACTGTCTTGGATACAATTTTGAGTTCACAGGCCTCACCCAGCTCAATTTGCTAGTGCCTTGATCTTGGACTTTCCAGTCTTTGAAACTGTGAGAATTAATTTTCTGCTGTTTATTAGCCACTCAGCTTAGGGTATTTTGTTGTAGCAGTCCAGATGGATGAAACACTATATTTAATCTTATTAAATTTCATATTCCTTTCAGCTCTAATTTGTTCAAGATATTTTGATGCTTACTCTGTCATTAATTCAATAAACTTGCATTGGGTGCCTACTATTTGTCAGGCACTTAGTAGGCACCAGAGACACAAGGGTAAATAGCATATGGCTCCTGTCTCTGACTTCTTCACAGAATAATGAGAGAGGAACCTATAGACATCCAAACCCATAAATAAAGTGCACTGTAATAGAGGCTGTAATCAAGTTAGGCACAGCATAGGGTGGGGAGATAAAGAGTGAATGGTTAAGGCTTACCTGGGGAGCAAAGAGGAAAGGGAGGCTTCACGATAGAAGTCATAAAATACCTGAGTCTTCAAAATTAATTATATATTTACCAGATGAACAAAGGAAAGAAAGGCATTATAACTGGAGGAATATTATATAAAAGCACTGAACTATTAAAAAAGAGAGAGAAAGAGAAAAAAGAGCAATAATGGATGAATTAGAATCTTAGAAATGGAAAGAATGGATTCGAGAGCAGGATTGGAGGTATTTTATTGTGTAGGAGAGGGACACTGATCTTTCTAAAGACATAGGAAAATTAGAGAAGGTAGGGATAGAGGTAAGTTTGCAGGTGAAGTTGCTAATATCATTTGCTGGTCATGAAGAAAGAACATGTGGCTGGGTTGGAGACTGAGAAACAGAAAAAGTTGTGAATTCACTTGAAGGGAATATGTGAAATAGAGAACAAGCTGTGTGATTGGCTCAAGACTGGAGGTGTGAAAGGTGGAAAGTGTGAGAATTTTAAGAATTTGAGTGTGCTAGGTAGATAGTAAGTCAAATGGTATCCCAGGATGCAAGTGTCACCAGAAAGTATCTTTAATAGGATGAAGCAAAAATCCCTATGGCATGTGACACAAGACCACTGTTCAAGTTGATGTAAATCTATCTATAATTCGTTTATTTTGAAGTAGTAATTAATCTACCTAACTATACTATTACAAGTATGCAATGCTCCTGCTTTAAAATCTCTTACTAAAAGCTATCTTTTTAAATTTAATAAACCTATCAGAACTTTAACTTTTCATATTTTTAGTAAAACCATACTAACTCCTGGTGATTACAGTGGTTCTATCTGTGAACTTGTCCCTGATGTTGTTATGAATTACATCAACCTTACTGTTTTCTGGAACTGTATCAATTCATAGAAAGTATGATTAATTAAACATATGGAAATTTATGGCATACATATTAGGCAGGCAGTAAGAATAAATGGAAGGCCAGGGTCCATGTGAGCTGATTCTCTAATATTCAGGAAAGCTTCCCCAAATAAATTGAGTCTCCTTTTTGTGTGGCCCTCCAGTTACACTGCAGCTGAGAAACCCTGAAAACACTCTGCCCCAGGCTTATAGCCCCTAGAAACAGCTGGGATTGCTGAGCTCAAGGGTTGCAGAGCATCTACTATAGGAAGAATGAAGTCATAACTCAGATTATTCTTGATATTTCCTTCATTGCTGAGAATGCAGAACGTTTCTGACCAAGAATTACAAGCAAGAACAGAAAAAAGTGGGTCAGCCAAGGTTATCTGTGGACTTGTTGTCCTGCAGAGAGAACTTAAGCATATTTGCTACCAAAATAATGTCTTCGTATAATTCTGCATTCTTTCTTTTCATTACAGTATATGTATGAACTCTTTTGTACTTTAGATAGCATTGTAGTTCTGAAAACTTGTTTAAATCATCAGCTGTGTATTACGTAGAATGACTGTTTCTATGTATGCACAAGTGTGCTTAGAAAATATTGAGGCTGCAACTGCCTACAAAATTAGTCTCACTTTGAGTTTTCAGAGATAAATCACAGTATGACAGACAAGAGGAGCAGACTACATTTTAAAGTTTCTTGCAAATTCAAAGGTTACTTAAGTTGGAGACAATCAGTCTTATGATGGAAGACATTTGTCAACAGACCACAAGTATACAATTTAAAAATAATTTTTTGTATGTTTTCTTACTTATTTTTTCCTAGATGTTTCTATTGGCAATAACGTGTGCATATGTATCCAAAACACTCTCTGGATCTTATATGAATTCCATGCTCACACAAATAGAGAGACAATTCAACATCCCAACATCTCTAGTTGGATTCATTAATGGAAGCTTTGAGATTGGTAATGAATTATTTTTGCATTTCTTGTTTTTGTATTTTGTCTTATCTATGGAGCTACTCTGAATTTTATCCTCCTTATTTGCTGTTATAGGTTATTTAACCTGATCGAGTTATATGTTTTCTAATACTGATTGATTAGCTAAGCTCATAATGTGCTTGGAAATAATTTATTTAAATATTACCTCATAATAGCACCTAAATATTGCCACATACCCCACCATTGTTCTTTTTATTCTAATAGTTTCTTAGTATGTAGCATGAATGGAGGAGTATTTAGAGTACTTATATTTAAATCTATCATTTCACAACCCTAAGGGAAGCTAAGGGCTCCGTCTTTGTATTTAGAAGATACAGATAGAACACCTAGAAGATGTACAAGATATTGTTGGAGACTGAAGAAATTGTCTTACAAATGAAAATGCAAATATTTTTCTGCTATTTGGTTTGGGAGGTTGACAATTCTTTTTCCAAGTACAGAGAAGAAAAAGTTGCTTTCATATCTCTCTGAATTTATTTCAGAAGCAGCCTCTAGGGAAAAATAAAGTCTACTTGTAGACTCTGGTTTTTGTGGATGATTGGGAATATGTGAACACAGAGAGTGAGAATGAAGGAAAGAAAGAGTTCCCCATGAAAAAGTTATATAGAAATACGAGTGTCACTCCCTTCTAGTTTTATAACAGCTTCCGCTTTCTTCAAGGTGATAATTGTCTTTAATATACTTAACCCATATTCAAAAAAATATCAGGATTGAGGAGAAGCAAAACTGAAACAGATGATTCTTGATCTTGTCTACCAGTGTTCAACTTCCTTACATCTTACCCTATATCACCTGTGTGCTGATCCCAGTGAGACAGTTAGAACTAACTTCGTGTATAGCCCATGAATAGACTGAGCTCATGATCTAATAGAAGGTAGAGATGCAAATGATAATAACATTAATTGAATGAAGTAAGTTTGGAGGCACAGATATGTATAAGGTCTTACAGGAACAAAAGGAACTCAGACTCATTTAGGAAAGGCAGACTCTTGAAGGATAACTAAAAGTTTTCTAGGAGAAGAAATGAGGTTAAGTAAGTGTGAATAAAATTCCAATAGAAGAAGAAGCACCCTAAGAATGATGCAGTGTAATAGCCTATGTGAGTGTAAGACTGTAGGGCCCCACAGGGTTGTGGGGTGTCCTTTTTGCTGTGCTGAGGTGCAGGATCCGAGAAGTAAAGAGACAGGACACTGAAGAACTGGTGAAGAGCATCTGGACTCGGGGGGCCATGCCACCTGTGAGTGGAGATCAGCGAGGGCCCCAAATCCCCAGGAGCATCTGTATTTATTAGATACAAGCAGGGGGCAGGGTCGTGAGTGAGGTCATCATCTATAGGCTTAGTAATAGGGCATACATAATCATGTGAGTCACAAGTGAGGGGGCCACCCCATTATGTCACTTGGGCAAAGAGGTGGGCTGTGTGCGGTAGGGGGCCATGCCGTGTGCAGTAGTAGAGGGTCGTGTACAGAAAAGGGATCCACCCCCATTAAGTCACCAAGGCAAGGAGGTAGGCTCTGTACAACAGGTGTCATGCGCAACACTTCTTATCTGGGGACTGGAGACTTCAAAGGATTTCTAATAGAAGGATACTTGTAAACCAATGCAGTGGGAGCTGACAGACTTGTGCTCTTCTCTTAAGATATTTATGGGAGGATGATTTGAGCTAGCACAGAAGTGAGAAAAGACTGACAAGGGTGTATAGCCACCATGACTGATCACACCAGAGGGGTTCTTCTCCCTCAGTTATTTCCAGGATCTCAGGCCTGAGGTCTACTTTCCACAGGAACTGGATGCAAGGTACTACAACTCCTTTATCAGGAGTAGAGGCTGTTGCTCCAAGCCTGCCATACAGCATATGCCCTTTCAGGCAGAGATGCCACCGCCTGGGTCTTTGGTTCTTGTCCTGGTCTGGCTGTTTTCCCATGTACTGCTTCTGTTCTGTGACTTCTCTAGGCATTCTTCCTACTACAAACTACTATATGGTTATATAGATGGATTCTATAAATCGGTACTAAATGTGTCAGCTCTGACTACAATACCTATATGATTATATAGAAAGATTATATAGAACTAAGTATGCTAGATATAACTATTAAGTATGATTATATAAGCTAGAAATATGTAAGCAGTAAGTTATACTTCAGGCACTAATTCTATAAACTAATATATGATTATATATAAAAGATTATATAAAGGAAATAGCTGAGTAATAGCACTATAGACTAAGATATTCTTCAGGCACTAATTGTGCCTGGGGTCTGGACAGTTCTCCTCCCACGATGCCCATGGTGGGTGTTACCCACAGTGAGGAGCAACATTCAGCCTGATAACATTGGCTAGCCAAGATAAAGTTGGAAAGTATTAAGATATGAGCCTGGAGAAATGAGCAAGGGTGGGCAATGGGTTATGAAGAGCTTTGTGTGCCTGCTATGGTATTTATTTTCTAATTCTCTAGGTGAGGAAGTGTCTCTGAGGATTGAAAGAGGTTGTTAACTTTTCTGTGTCAAGGACCCTTTTAGCAATCTAACACCATGTGACCCTGGAATAACAATTTCAATTGCATAAAAAAGAACTACATGGGTGCAAAAGAAACCAATTATATTGAAGTAGAATTATCAAGATATTAAAACAAATTTTTATATAGTAATATTTGTACTTTTAATCAACTCATTAAAAGTAATTATTTACTAATTTAAAAGTAATTATTGTGTCAATATTTTGAATTATTTGCAACAGCCATATTGTCATCTGAACATGTCTTTAACTTCTATTGATGACAATTGGTGACAAAGTCATATGTTCACATTGCAGTTATAGGAGACTGAAGCACTGGGGAGCTATCTGGGCTGGAGCTATTGATTAGCAAGTAAGTAGGCATTTGCTAAAACTAGAGAAAAAATTTATGAGGTTATTCAGGGAGAGGACATCGGGTGACAATTACAGTGGACAAAGAATAGATCCTGAGTTGCCCAGGCATTTAAAGCACAAATGGAAGAAAAGGAGTCTACAGCAATGTTAAGAGAAGGAATGGTCAGAGAAGCTAGAGGGGGAACCAGGAGCAAATAGTATTGTGAAAGACAAAGGAGTAGAAATTTGCAAACAAAAACAAAAGCACATGTATCAGCAGTGTCAAAAGCATCAGAAATATCCAGTTAGATAAGGATGAAGAACTATCCCCTGGGTTTCACAATATGGAGATAACTGATGATCTTTGCCAGGGCACTTTTTGTTTTAGCAAATTTGGAAACTAGAAAGCAGTAGAGGTAGGAACAACTTTAGGGGATTAGGGATGGGAAAAAGTGGAATCTATGAATATGGATGAACATTTTGGAAAGTTTGGAGGGAAACTAGAGAAATTAGGCTAAAGTTCAGTTGAGAGAGAGAGGCTTAACATATATATGAGAGATTTTAATTACTAGAATAAGTTGCTGAAGAAAATGGCAGTACCCTGGTGGTGTGTTTAGTGTTGGGTGATCAGAGAGACACCAAAACCTCTGAAACTGAAGGACGGTGGTCAGGCCATCAGGTGGAAAACTCAGATGCCTTCATGTTTGATTGTCCCAAATTTCTTGATAAAGCAGAAAATATTAACAATTTCTACCACTAGTGGGTGGTGATAGGTAGCTTGAGAGAGTGATGAAGATCAGAAATAGTGTTGAGGGACAAAAGAGAGGTACTTTACAAATGCCAATAGACATACCACTTAGCTTACGTTTCCTCAGTCAGTTTCACAGGCAGCATTCTCCATACCTTTGACAAAAACTTACTTCTCTTTTCCCATGCTTTCTCATAACAATTATTTCCCGACAGAGCAAGGCAGTTTAAAAGATAAACTCACTGTTACGTGAAGAAGGAAAGTTCTTCCCTTCTTCTTTCAAAAAATAGATATGGATTTCAAACAATGGCTTCTGTAGACACTACCTTCAACATGGATGGCTTTAGTGATGAGATGTTAGAAACCTAGAGAGGTCAATGTGGCTAATATAGTTACAGAGGTGGGGCACTCTCCATATAAAATAATGTGCAAATGGACATATCTTCTACATACAAGGCAGACTAGAGAAAAATGTAGATGGAAAGAAAAGTTTTAAAAATATACACCACTGAGAAAACCATTAACTCCTTGAGGAAAAACATTTTTGAACTTTTTATAATCTTGAGGCATTGCAGAGGTCTTCCTTATATATAGCGAGAGCAAGGAAGATATTATTTACTGAATTAAAAATTGTATGGTTTGCGAAAACCTTTCTCATATATTTGGTTTTTTCAGCTCTTTACTCCACACTCTTCGAGGATCTGTCCATCAGATGAGCCTTCCCCCATTAGTTTCTTTATTCTAATGCTTCATCTTAAGACAAGAGGATACATTTTTCATTGCCATTTTTATTCCTCAAATCCAGACTCACTGAAGACCCAGTAGAAGTTGGGGTCTACTAATTTTTACTTATCTGCATTGTCTGATCTAGGGAAAGAAGTAGAAAAAAAAATAGATCCCCGTCTTGATCATGTTAGTCAAAATGAAGGTATTTTTAAATGAGGAGTTACAAAACATGAAGTTTTCTAAATTTGACTGTTGCTTCTCCTTCTGGACATAGGAAAACATGAGAGTGTTCTATGGAGCAGGCATTGAGAGAAAGGCCAGAGGTCACATGCAGGCTGACACCTCTGGTACCTCATTTCCAAGTCTAGACAGTCACAAATAGAGCCTTTCACATTTCCCAGAGCCATTCTTTGGTTCCTTTCACTGGCTTCTCTTTTTTCCTTCTCTATAAATGTTGGTGTTCCACAGAGATTTGTTTCTGTATCTGTCTACATTGTAAAAATAAAACCCTTCTTGAGGGCAGGGATTGTGTTTTATTCATTTATTATTAAATGCAATCCTAGCACAAATCCCATTATTTAAGATAGTTATTATGCAGTAAATGCTAGAATGTAAATGGTTGGGTGAGGCTGTTAATTAAGACCTTGTTCATATTTTTAAAAATGATTATTCTCAATATTTTTCTAGGAAATCTTTTGTTGATTATATTTGTGAGTTATTTTGGAACCAAACTGCATAGACCTATAATGATTGGCACTGGATGTGTGGTTATGGGCTTAGGCTGTTTCTTAAAATCACTACCTCATTTCCTCATGAATCGGTAAGTATTCCAGTCTGATCCTTTTGGGTGGTCAAATTTCACTTGCAGGAAATGAAGCTTGCACTTTCCTCTCTAGGAAAGATGTTTTCCAATAGCACAGAGCATTGTAATGAGAAGGGGAAAATGCACATTCTGTTTCCTCTGTCTGTTTTGTGCTCTTGCTGCCTCACTTCCACTTACGTAGTCAGTTTTGTCAATTTACGCAATGGACATTTGAGACATTTTTCTCATGGAGTTGAGTCTGGTGAAAAGATTCTCAGGATCAGCTAAAATGGGATTATTCCCTTCTCAGGACCATGTAAATGCTTCTAATTATAATGAGATTCTGTTTAATTGTAGGTCACCAAGGGACAGACCAGTCAGAAGGTTGATTTTTCTTTTAATTTTTGCCAAAGTAACTATGTACAAAAGTCATAAAAATAGAAAGTATGCAAAAAGGCTTATATTAATAAAAAGTTCTCCCTTGCTGCTTATTACCACTTTCCAGAGGCAAGCACGTATAACTTTTAGCTTTTTCTTCTGTTTGCCTCAAATTTCTTTCTTTTTTTTTTTTTCTGTTTTTATTATTTGTTTATTTATTTTGAGAAGGAGTCTTGCTTTGTCACCCAGGCTGGAGTGCAGGTGGATATGATCTCGGCTCACTGCAACCCACTTCCCAGGTTCAAGTGATTCTCCTGCCTCAGCCTCCTGAGTAGCTGGGATTATAGGTGCGTGTCACCAAGCCCAGTTAATTTTTGTATTTTTAGTAAAGATGAGGTTTCCCCAAGTTGGCCAGACTGGTCTGGAATTCCTGGGTTCAAGCAATCCACCCACTTTGGCCTCCCAAAGTGCTGGGATTACAGGCATGAGCCACAGTGCCCTGCCTTGCCTTTGTATTTCTAAGTAAATGCTATTCTATTAGTTTTGAGTCCTGGTGTACCCTGCTTTATTGCATCTCACTTTATTGCACTTTGCAGATATTACATTTTTCACAAATTGAAGTTTTATGGCAACCCTCTGTTGAATGTTAGACTCATTCAATTAGAATCATTTTCCAACAGCATATGCTCACTTTGTGTCTGGGTTACATTTAATAATTCTTGCAATATTTTAAGCTTTGGCATTATTATTGTATCTGTCATGGTGATCTGTGGTTAGTGATCATTGATATTACTAATGCAATTGTTTTGGCATGCCACTAACTTATGCCCATTTCAGATGATGATTTATTTATTTGTATATATATTTTTAGAGACAGGGTGTCACCCAAGTTGGAGTGCAGTGGTGTGATCTCACTCATTGTAGCTTCGACATCTACAGGCTCAGAGGATCCTCTCACCTCAGTCTCCCAAGAGACTGAAACTACAGGCACTTGCCATCATGCCTGGATAATGTTTTTTTTTTTGTTTTTTTTTTTTTTTTTTGTAAAGACAGGGTTTTGCCATGTTGCCCTGGATCGTCTCAAACTCCTGGGTTCAAGCAATCCTCCTGCCTCAGACTCTCAAAATATTGAGACTACAGCCATGAGCCACCGTGGTGGTCTTAAGATGGTGAGCATAATCAATAAATGTTGCGTGCATTCTGGCTGCTCCACTGACCGGCCATTGCCCCACTTCTCGCCCTCTCCTTGGGCCCCCTTATTCCTTTAGTACAAAAATATTGAAATTAGGCCAATTGTTATAATAGTTCTCTCTTGGTCTCCAGGTTTTCAAGTGAAAGAAAGAGTTATACATCTGTCACTTTAAATCCAAAGCTAGAAATGATTAAGCTCAGGAGGAGGGCAAGTTGAAATCCAAGATAGGCCCAAAAGCAAAGCCACTTGCACCAAACAGTTAGCCAAGCTGTGAATACAAAGAAAAAGTCTTTTGAAGAAAATTAAAAGTACTATTTCAAGAAAGACACAAATGATTAGTAGGTGAAACAGTCTTATTGCTGAACTGGAAAAAGTTTGAGTAGTCTGAATAGAAGACAACATTCCCTTAAGCCAGAAGAGCAAGACTCTCTCTTCTATTCTATAAAAGTTAAGAGAGATTAGGAAGTTGCAGAAGAAAATTTTAAGTCAACAGAGTTAGGTTCATGAGGTTTAAGGAAAGAAGCTGTCTTCATAACATAAAAGTAGAAGGTGAAGCAAAGCTACAGCAAGTTATCCAGAAGATCTAGCTAGGATAATTGTTGAGGGTGGCTACACTAAATAAGATTTTCAATATGGATGAAACAGCCTTCATATTTTTTGCTGGAGTGCAGTGGCATGATCTTAGTTCACTGCAACCTTTGCCTCCTGGTTTCAAGCGATTCTGCTACGTCAGGCTCCAAAGTAGCTGGGATTACAGGTGCCTGCCACTACATCCAGGTAATTTTTGTATTTTTAGTAAAGACAGGATTGCACCATGTTGGTCAGGCTTGTATCAAACTCCTGACCTCAGGTGATCCACCTGCCTCGGCCTCCCAAAGTGGCAACAACCTTCTTTTGAAAGAAGATGCCATCTAGGACTTTCAGAGCTAGGGAGGAGAAGTCTTTTCAAAATATTACTGCTAATTGACAATACAGCTAGTTACCCAAGAGCTCTGATGGAGATGTACATGGAGATGAATGTTATTTTCATGCCTGCTAAAACAACATCCATTCTGCAGCCCATAAATCAGGAGTAATCTTGACCTTCAAGTCTTACTATTTAAAACACACACTTTGTAAGAATATTGCTGCCATAAATAGTGATTCCTCTGATGGATCTAAGTAACATAAATTGAAACCTTCCTCGAAAGAATTCATTATTCTATATTCCACTAGGAACATGGGAGGAGGGCAAAACCTCAACATTAACAGGAGTTTTGAAAAGTTGACTCAAATCCTCTTGGATCACCCTGAGGGGTTCAAGACTTTAGTGGAGGAAGTCACAGACTTTAGTGGAGGAAGTCACTGCAGATGTGCTGGAAAGAGCAAGAGAACTAGAATTTAAGATGGAACCTGAAGATGTGACTTAATTGCTGCAATCTCATGATAAAACTTGAATAAATGAAGATTTTCTGTTTATGGACAAGCAAATAATGTGGTTTTCTGTGATGGAATCTGCTACTGATGAAGATACTGTGAACACTGTTGAAAGGACAGCTAATGATTTAGAACATGACACAAAGGTGATAAAGCAACAGTAGGGCTTGTAAGGATTGACTCCATTTTTGGAAGAAGTTCTACTGTGGGTAAAATGCTATCAAACAGTGTTGTGTGCTACAGAAAAAGCTGTTGTGAAAGGAAGAGTCACTTGACACAGGAAACTTTATCATTGTCTTATTTTAAGAAATTGCCACATCGCTTACAACCTTCAGCAGCCACTACGATGATCAGCCAGCAGATGTCACCATGGAGGCTAAAGCCTCTACCAGCAAAAAGGTTATGACTTTCTGAAGGCTCAGATGATCGTTAGCAACTTTTAGCAATAAAGCCTTTTAAATTAATGTGTGTACATTGTGTTTTAGACATAATGCTATTGCACACTTAGTAGGCTACCATATAGTGCAAACATAACTTTTATATGCATTAGAAAATTTAAAAATTCATGTGACTTTATTGTGATATTCACTTTATTGTGGCAGTCTGGAACCAAACGTGCAATGTCTCTGAGGTATGCCTATGCACTAGTGTTAGCAATATGTATTGAATTCCTACCATACAATCATTTTTACCACCTATGTTTATATAATTATGTAAATTTTTTACCACTGAACTATGAGCTTATTTTTCTTTTCTTATATAACTTTTCATTTTTCCTAGATTTTAATAATTACCTAATTATTTGTATTGTTCACTAATTCATTACCAAATTCCCCACTGGCCGGGCAAGTGTCCTCTCAATATTCTGATCCATATCACAGTGCATGATTTTTGCCTTGGAGATTCCTCATACATCACTTTCAATTCTCAATCTGCAATCTGAACTTGGAATTCTCTAGGCCTGCTACATTGCTGTTTTCTTGGAATTTTCCCTCATTATTACCCTTGAGAATTTGCTTTTTACCTGTTTCATACATTCAGTTATTCATTTTCTGGATGGTATGTCTCCTGCCTTCTTCTTCACTCTTCACTTGTTTTTGTGAAGAAAATAATCTAACAGCTTTCCAAGAAAGTGTATAAGGGAATATAAAATGTAAGGCTTCGTACATCTGAAAAAATTTCTATTTTACTCCCACATTGACTGTTACTTTGTCTGGGATAAAATTCTAGATTGAAAATATTTTCCCCAGGGATTTTGAAGATGTTTTCTTAATGTTTTCTGGCTCTATCTAACATTTGTATTAAGTGTTATTATTCAGAATCCTATACCATTCTAATCTCTGTGGTCAGTTTTCTTTCAGTGAAAACTATTGAAATTTTCTTTTAAGCTCCAAGTCCAATGTTTATACTAATTGTATAAATCTTGGTATACATCTGTCTCCTTCATTGTGCCAGGAGCCTTCAACCTGGACATCTGGAAAAGTTACTTTTATTATTTCTTTGCTTATATTGCCCTATGCCTTCTCTCATACAGCTGTTTTCTCTTTCTAGACCTTCTATTACTTGAATATTGGACATCCCATGTTAACCTTATGTTTTTCTGATCTTTTATCCTTAATGTTTTGTTCTCTTTTCTCCTTGTTACTTTCTGGGGGATTTAACTTTATCTTCCATGCCTTTGAATGGCTTTCTAGCTTATGCTACCACATTTTTAATTTTCAAGGGTTCTTGTTCTTTGAATGCCTTTTTTTTAAGGAACATCTTATTATTCTTTCAAGAATACATTGTCTCTTTCCATCTAAATTCTGTTCATCTTTCTTTTTGGTCTCTGGTTCCTCCAAGTGTACTTTTTAAAAAATTTGTTTGTAGCTGTCTTTATTGTTATAGGCTTCTCTCATATAACTGGTGGTCCTTTGTTATCTGTTTACACTTCAAAGGGAGGAATAACAATAACAAGAAGCTAATTAGAAGTTCTGTATACATGTGTAGGACTTGGTTAATGGAGGACTTCTTTCTTGACTCATTGCATAGGAACTGGCTGTTTTATAGACGGCTCAGAATTGCACATAACCTGTTTTCCTAAGGGATTCTATTCCTTTGGAAGTAGAAGCTTAGCTACCAGCCAAATGCAAGTGGGAATCTCAGTGTTTAATAGGTAGATTTTTAAAAAAATCTAATACTTCCAATTTTTTTTGTATTGCCTTTCTATGCTCAGTGTGCCCTTCCAGACTCTGGAGTCAATGGACATTTTCAGCTGGAGTGGCAGGGGATGTCTCTGGGAGTTGAATGTTTCTTAAACACACTTTAAACCAAAATGTTTGCACTCTTCTGTGTTTTGGACCATACTCACTTTTGAATTTATAAGTATCTTGCCTGAACGTTCCCGGGCTTTGTGGCATTGCTTCCTTGCAGGCACTTACGCACCTCTCATATCTTCTGTTTCAGTGACCACTCAGTCACCTGCTTTTCCATTTTCAAAATCTTGTTGAGCTCGCTTTTACTGTCAAATTCTCCATTCTTTCTATCCTTATGGAATTATGCCTTTTCCTATTCTGTTTGAAAATCTGTTTACCGTCATTTTCTGGTGCTTTGGGAATGAATGGACTTTGAGTTATTAGATTTTTAGTGGGTAAATTAACAAAACGTATTTTCTCTTTTAAAGTATTTTTGAAGGGATCAGAGTTCCTAAGCAAAGAGCCTTTCTTTTTCTTTTATTTCTTATCCTATCCAAAATAATGTCAAGTAATATTCAGCTACTACTTACATTTCTTTTTCCCACCTGCCAAAGGTGTTATTTCCCTGAAGTTGTCATGTCTCATGGGATTACGAGTATGGAGACAGATCCTTTGTCTGTAGTTCACAGCCAAACTCTTTGGGCATCACTGAGCAATTGTTCTAAAAGGAAGGTGTTTTGAGCCTTTTTATTATATCCTATAGCACAGAAATTAAGACTATCAGTGGCATAACACTAGCTTTTGTGAAACTCAGAAGGGCAAGCTTTCTTCTGGTTAGCTTATCTAAGAGAAACACAGAAAGCAATCAAGCATAATTTCTAACAGACTTTACTGAACATACTTTTTCTCCCCCCATTCTTGCAGCACATAATTTACTTACTGAGGAAAAGCATATGGATCTTGTGGTAATTAGCATAAATTAAATGGTCACAGTTTATTATTCCATTTGTTCTTATGAGAAGAGAAAAAATCATTATGTGTCGTGGTGATTAAGATTCTCTAATGCCTTTCATTATGATGGGCAAATATTTCATTTGTCTTAGGGTTTTATGAAATACATGGAAGAATTATTGTAGGGTGTCTCAGAAAGTGGAAGTTTTGCTTCTTCTGAGCAAACTTTAGAAAATGCAAAACTGAAGACTTGTTTTGTTGCATTATTCCCTTCAAAGCTTTTATCTTCTTAATTATGCATTGTTAAATTTCTCATTTTTTTCAAGTGTGTGTTCCTTTTCCCATAATAATTACTTCCAGGAAATGATAACCTAAAAATCAAAGAAGGTTGATATTTGATAATCTAAAGGTAAATCATCCACAGGCAAATCATTGAAAGCTAAGTATAAAAAAATTTTACACTTACGGTAAGTGACAAGTTTTTTTGATGATATTAACTTACGATAACCTGGGTGGCAAAGATGAAAAGATATTTTTACTGGATTTGAATGTTGTGGTGTACAGGAAACAGAAGGTAATAATCTGTACATTGCCCACATTGTTCTCTTTACCTCCTTAACATAAACATGATTTCCCTGTGTTTATACAGATATGAATATGAATCTACAGTTTCAGTTTCAGGCAACTTGTCCTCAGGCAGTTTCTTGTGTATGGAAAATGGAACCCAGATTTTAAGATCAACACAAGATCCATCAGGTTGTCTACTTCATTGTGTTGATTTCTGTCCTGTGAACTTACAACTGAACACTTTCTGCTTTAAAGCTCTAAATGAGTTATTGGGTTGAGTTGAGTTAGGTAAATAAACAAAGATATGTCCTCTCTCCAGGAACTTCCAAAGTGGTCACAATGGGGAATAAGATAGCTAATAATAAAGAATGTTATTTTTCTTATATATGAATGTGTTTATTAAGAATTCCTTGTTTATTTATTAACATGGTTATTACATGGCCCATGCCTGTAATATCAGCACTTTGGGAGACCAAGGCAGGCGGATCACTAGAAGTCAGGAGTTTGAGACCAGCTTGACCAACATGGTGAAACCCTATCTCTACTAAAGATACAAAAATTAGCCAGGTGTGGTGGCGGGTGCCTGTAATCCCAGCTACTCAGGAGGCTGAGGCAGGAGAATCACTTGAACCCAGGAAGCGGAGGTTGCAGTGAGCCAAGATTGCTGCACTCTAAACTGGACAACAGAGTGAGACTCTGTCTCAAAAAAAAAAAAAAAAAAAAAAAAAGGAGAGAGTCTAAGACATCTATTCAAGGACCACTGTTCAGTTTATCCCACAGAGGAAAATGTTTTAGAAGGATGGATTTATGCTAATGATTTGATGTATATGATTAGGTAAATAGGAACCTACGATAGAAAAAAGTTCAAGAGATTTGTGTTCTATCACTGATCTTTTATAGCAGGGAAAACAGGCAAATAGGCTACAGTTCTGAATTACTCTATTCCCTTTCTATTGCCTTAGGAACTTGTCTTTCTGCTCCCTTCTTTTCTCTGCTTGAGTTGGTGCTTGAAAATTCTACACAATAGTAGTGCTTCTTTCAGCTTCCTGTAGCCCTAGGCACCAACATACTGGCTTCTGCCCCTTCTATCCCTTCTGCTAAGGGACCCGTATAATCTTCTGGTTATAATTGGTCTGGAGATGACTCTAATGACTCAATCCAGAACTTTTCCTCTTTTTATGGGGACATTTTTCTTCTGGATTCATGTTGGTGGAAGTTGCGGTAATCCACAAGGGTGGGAATTTAACGATCACCATTGAATCAGGAAACCAAAATCGTTTCAAAAAGTTGAAAAATATCTGTCTCAGAAGAAGCCAAAGAACCCCCATGGGGGAAACAAAGAAAAACAGTGACATTAACAGTGACCTGTGTTCTCTTCCTGAGCTAGCTATTGCCAAAGACTGACCCAGATGCTTCATTGTTGATACAGGAAAACCTTCCCATTCTGGCACATCTCCCGGAAAGTGCATTGATGCTTTCAATTTTGCCCTAGAATAGGCCTAGAGTTAGCCTGTGTTCTCTAGACACAAATCACTTTGCACATCACACAAAAAATCTGAATACCCAGAAATAGAGACTATTATTTTCTGACTTGAAATGATGGAGAGATAGCCCTCACAAAAAAATTCCTGGACCCAGCCATTGTCAGGACCCCACAGGTCTCACCTGGCCAGTTTATAAAGTGTGAGAGTACATTGTTCTTCACTTTTCTGAAAACGGGACTCCACAGAGCTTCCTCACAGCTTACCAACTATTTTGGCTTAGAACATAAATGGCAAAGAGATTGATAGAATTCTTCAGAGATCTCCCTATGATCCTCACTTTCTATTCCCTTTGGTTGCGTCTTTGTTATTCTACTAAGCAGCTGCACCTCCAAGGATTGGGGTGGATTTCTGTACTGAAAGTTATTTGGTGGTTACAACATACAACATGCTCTGTAGAGAACCTATGATGATTACCCAGTTAAAGATTTTTAGTTTCTATAAAATAATAGAGTTGTAGAGAATTCACACTTTAGAGAGACTCTTGTTTAAATCTTATATAGTATCAATTCTAGAGAAAAATATTGTGTTTTTGTCTCCCCAAAGTCGAATAGGAAGGGGAAAGCACTTGTGGCAGCTGAATAGGTCCAGGAGTTTCTGAGGAACTGAATCTCTTCAGAGAATAAAAACCTTGATTTTTAGTGTTTGCCAATTTCTGTGGTGTAACACTGCTATGAAACTACTAATGAGGTGTTACTGAACACTGAGTTGGGAGGAGGTGTGTATATTCATCTCTCCCAACTTAGTAGGGACTGGCTCAGCATATGACTTACACTTGTCCATACCCAAGTCCTTTGTCAGAAAATGCACTAGGAATGCCCCAAGAAGTCATTGCTGGAGTAGTAATATAAATCACTGACCAGGTGCCATGGTCACATAACTGTGAAATGCCTAGAGAAAACATGGAATTACTATTATTGACACTTTATTATCAAAACACTAATGTCATGTCTTTTTTTTTTTAATGCAGAGTGTACAAAGGAAGTTAAATCATTAATGTGGGTGTATGTCCTGGTAGGAAATATTGTACGTGGAATGGGCGAAACTCCCATCATGCCTTTGGGTATTTCCTATATAGAAGATTTTGCCAAATCTGAAAATTCCCCTTTATATATTGGTAAGTTTGAAAATCTACCTTACTTCTTTTCAGGGCAGTAAGTTCCTTGAGGGTAGAAATTAGTCATATTTCTGTAGTGATATCCACAATGGTGAGTAGAGTGTCTTGGCACAGTTGGCCTTCCATAAAAGTTTGTTGAATGGAGATATGATATGCTAAATGACAATGAGCCATTTAAAAAATAAATCTGCTTTCTGCTATTGGAAATACCACGAATCTAGTGCCCTTGGAGGTGAACCCTTCATTTGCTTGGCACCACACTATATTCAATCTGTTAAGAGATTTATCAATGTTTTCTCTAAAATGTTCCATACATTCATAACCTTTCTCACTATTTTCACTACCTCTGTTTTTGTTCAGGTTCTCATACTTTATAGTTTCTCTGTATTGATTATTTTCTCTTCAGTGTTTTCTTCTTTCAGTTTAAAAAATATTTGCAATATAATATTTCTCAAGCATTGTTTTAATCATGTATTCTCTACTATATTTATGACATCTATAGGCTGCTTATTTATTAAATCTGATCTCTCCACTTATTACTCATGGCTCTGCATGACATTCACTTACTTAGTTTCTATATAGTTTCTCTTCATCATGATCCCTCCATATAGACAGGCTTCATCATATTTTTCACAAACACGTTTTCATCTTTTTGGTTACGTTTCTTGAAATTGCCTTTTTAAAATCCACGTAGGTCACCTGGCACAATAGCCAACTTAAGCCCCACCTTCTTGTGCTGTCTTTCAATCTCTGAAATATTCTTAATTTATTATGCATGACTTGCTTATATTTTTTGTTATTTTATCAATAGTTGGTCATAAACCTGTAACATTTAGTATAAGAACACTTTGCTATTAATGTATGGCGGCATATCTTTTAAAAACTAGAAAATCAAAGAGGGTGAGAAAAGACAGAAATGATGTATACATAATTAAGATGGATGAAAATATTGAGAAATCATTAACCAAAGTGACTTTTGAAACTTTTTGACAACTCAATAATTTTGCAATAATCTTTTCCAGTGATTTTCTATTGAGTCCTTTCAAATTCCTTCACACACTTACATTAAAAGAATGCAAACACTTTCCTACAAGAAATTAACAAACACCTTGCTATGATGTCTATTTCTTTATTCAACAAATACTAGGGTGTATTATATATAAATGTAGCTGTGATAATCTCTATACATATTAAAATGAATATGATATGGTTCATATAAGGTTAGTAAATGAAGAACTACGTAATTATTAGTACTATATATATAGTGTGTGTGTATACATGTATATGTATATAATGTGGGTACATGTGTGTATGCATAACCAAATAACTATAAATCAAATAGCTCTACATCAAGAAAACAGTTCCATGTAAGGCTCTGGAGTTTAAAAGAGAACATAAAAGCTAGATTAAAAGTTTGAAAATCGGCCAGGCATGGTGGCTCATGCCTGTAATCCCAGCACTTTGGGGGGGCTGCAGCAGGTGGATCACCTGAGGTCAGGAGTTCAAAACCAGCCTTACGAATATGATGAAACCCCAGATCTACTAAAAATACAAAAAATAGCAGGGTGTAGTGGCATGGGCCTGTAATCCCATCTACTCGGGAGGCTGAGACAGGAGAATCGCCCGAACCTGGGAGGCAGAGGTTACAGTGAGCCGAGAGATTGCACCATTGCACTCCCGCCTGGGCAACAAGAGCAAAACTCTGTGTCAAAAAAAAAAAAAAAAAAGTTTGTGAATCATCTATAGAGAGGTAATAAATGAAATCAAGAGTGAGAAATGAGGTTGTTGTGGAAGACCATGTACATACTGAGAAATATTAAGATAAAATACTGTTCTACTTAGTAAATAGACTAGGAGAAAGGAAAATCAAAAAAGGAATAGTCATGAGAACACAATGAAACAATGCATGTATAGTTTAATGAAAGTCTTAGGAAGAAATGTGGCTGGCCACTGTGGCTCAGGCCTGTAATCCCAGTACTTTGGGAGGCTGAGGCTAGTGGATTGCAAGGTCAGGAGTTCGAACCCAGCCTGTTTGACATGGTGAAACCTCGTTTCTACTAAAAATACAAAAATTAGCCAGGCGTGATAGTGTGTGTCTGTAATCCCAGTTACTCGGGAGGTTGAGGCAGGAGAATCACTTGAACCCAGGAGGCCAAGGTTGCAGTGAGCCAAGATTGTGCCTCTGCACTCTAGCCTGGGCAACAGAGCAAGAGTCCATCTCAAAAAAAAATGTGAAAAGAGGAGTTGGCCAGTAATATCAAGTAACCTAGAAAGCTAGGACGATGAAGACCAAAAGAGGACACTAGACTAGTGACAAAGTGTTCACTGGTGCTACCTGAGAGTATTTGAAAGAGAATGTAAAAGGATTTGAGTAAAGTGAGTGAGAGGTAAGGAAGTAGAGGCAGAGAATGTAGTGAAAGGAGAGAAAGTGGGGTGGATTTGAGATTTTGTAGAATCGTTGGCTACAGGGAAATTGAACAAGCACAAGAGAGGGAGAGTTTGTTAGAGCAAGACCTTAGAGAAGATATAAGGCATTGGAACCAAAAAGTCAGGTGTGTATAGGGTGGGTTCTCCACAGAACCATGGAGAAGGCAGAGACAATAGGCAAAACCACATTTTGAAGTGAACAGGAAGAAAATCGAAGAAGTTCGTGTCTGGAATTTCAGAGATCATGGAGGGTTCAGCATAGGCTCTGAATTGTGGGCAGATGATGAGACGGCTGATGATGTAATTTTAATGAATAAGAATTTAAACAAAGACACATAGGACTGATGGACATGGAAAATAAAAATGTGGAAGAAAAGAAAGGAGAATATGATAAAATCAAAGAGTTGTATCATATAATAATAATGAGGACATAGCCAGAAGGAAGTTTCAAGTTGCAGATCTGAGAATGAAACTTTTCTGAGGAATGTGCCATAAGAAATTTATTATAACATGGTATTGCTTTAGAATTGCTCCCAAAACGTGGCTGTGGGATGAATTAACAGGACCTCGGTTATATCACGACCTAGTTAATGGCATGATCCCAGCTGGGACTGCCTGTGCTGCTACAGCAAATCTTTACCCGTGATGCAGCATGAAAAAGAATTTGAAGGCTGGGGAAAGTGGCCTTAAATTATGAGGTTCTTTTTCAACATTTATAGAAAAAAGCATTACTTATATGTACATCAACCTTAACTTTTGTATAAATTGTATATCTAGTCAAAAGTATCTAAGGCAAAAACATTCACTCTTCAGGTTTTTCATGGGCCTAGAACTTTTTCTGTGGGCATATAACTGTACTATAACCTTATATTTTTATTTATTTTTAGGGTTTGTAGAAACAGGAGCTATTATTGGTCCTTTGATTGGACTTTTGCTGGCATCATTCTGTGCAAATGTTTATGTTGACACTGGATCTGTGAACACAGGTAATTCAATAAAATCTATTTTTACAGTGTCTAGAGTATATGAAGCATCTCAGATATGTTATGATATATAATCATGACCTAACTTAGCCCTCAATTTGATAAATGATCACCACTTTACAAGTGAGCAAACTGTAGTGGAGGAGTTTAAATAACTTTTCAAATATTCCAAACCAGAAAGCAGTAAAGCAAGATATAAAATGCTAATCTGACACAGAATCCCATCTACTGCACTTCAACTATGTTTCTTGGTTTTAAAATATTTAAGCATGTAGGTTTGAATTTATTTCAATTAAGCAATCATTTGTTGATGACAAAATATAACCTGTAATTGTTTAGTTAATATCTGCTTTTAAATCCCTTACATGATAGATAACCAGCCTAATTTATGACTAGATAATAATATAATACCACATATTATTAGAAAAATTTTATCAGTGTCTGAACTATAAGCAAATTTTGTACTTGGTTAGGACCTGATTATTATAATTTAAAAAATTTTCTATAGTCCATATGGAAAATACTGATTAAGCTAACAAAAGTGTGTATATTTTTTTACAGATGATCTGACCATAGCTCCTACTGATACTCGTTGGGTTGGTGCATGGTGGTTTGGCTTTCTGATTTGTGCAGGAGTTAATGTGCTCACTGCCATTCCTTTTTTCTTTTTGCCCAAAACACTTCCAAAGGAAGGACAGGAGGATAATGCTGACATCATTAAAAATGAAAATGAAGAGAAAAAAAGAGAAGAGGTCAAGAAGGAAAAAAATGGAATCACTAAAGGCAAATACACATATTTTAAATACTATGAAATTGACCTTTTATTTCATATAGATATGTCTGTATTTTAGTCTAACATTATGATATGCTATGCTGTGTTGAGACAATTTGTCATCAACAGTCACCAGTCAATAATACCTAACTAGTCTGATTCTTCCTGTGCTACTACTTGAAAAGACATAGTATAATTTGAAAGCTGAATTATTTCAGATCAGCATTTATGTAAACTTTGATGTCAGTCTTGGCACTCTCTCTCTCATATGTATATATATATGGTCCCATTTGCTCTAAAAAACCCATGTTACAAAGATCGTAGGTTGAATTGAAACAAAATGAACAAGTAAATTTAAATTAAGAACAAAAGTAGGAAAAAATATACTCTAATCCTAATGGATAGCATAGTTTTGTAACTAACATGTTAGTTTAATTATGAGCTTCCTAGAAATTAAGGCAGAAAAAACAAACAAACAACAACAACAACAACAAAACCAAATAACACAACAGAAAACCATGATAGGTGACCCAACTCTCTCTACTTGGTAGTGGGAAGAATAATAATTTACAAAAAGAAGCAGTTTCTCAGAAAGAAATTGTAAAAAAAAAAAATTTAAAAATGATCATATGATGTGTGATACAGGTAATATTGAGCAACGCAGTGATTTTCCAGGAAATGCGGGGGTATATTTCATGTAACTTTTTTTTTTTTTTTGGTACAGAACCTCAATAAAAGCTCAAAGCATAATTTACAGAAGGTTTTTCTGTGGGAAACTAAACTAAGATAGTCTAAGTATTTAGTACTCAAGAGCACTGATTCTTAAACTTGGTGGCACATTGCAATCACCTAGAAAATTCAAAAAACAACTGATGGCTGAAAGTTCTGTAGTATTCCCAGAAGGTCTGATTTAAATAGTGTGGATATGTGGTGTGGGTATTGGAACATAAAAATGTTTATTTGGTGGATGGGGAGGGGCTCGGTTTTCTGTAAAATGGGGATAATGATAGTACTTGTTATAGAATTGTTGTGTGAAGGTAAAAAACATTCTAGCACACATTATGATTAATACTGATACTAATGTTAGTACTTTTATTGTTGCCGTTGCTGTTTCTATCATCACCCATAAATTACAATGTTATTTTGCATAGAATTTTTCTTAACAATTATAAATTCTCTTAAATCATAATTGAGCATAATTTAACACATCTTGGGTCATTAGGAGCCAACTCAGAATCTTGCAAATTCTCAGGATCATTCTGATGAGATTAAAAACTCTTCCCTAAAGGGTAGTTATGGACTGATAAACCTCTTGCAATCTGCAAAATCAGTTCTGTTTTCAAAATTACAAAAGAGCTTAGCTTGTTGTAAGAAATAGAAAACAAAGTTGTGTTACTGAGATGCATCTATTAGGATAGGGGTGTCAACAAACATGTGTGACTTAAAAACCTTCAGAGTTTGGACAACATTTCGCTCTCCTATCAGGTCCCTATTCACAAATACAAATTCTACAGTTATAATTTATTTATTTGCATTAATCTGTGCTTCTTCCTTTTCCAGATTATTTATTTATTGAAATTTTGTTCCAGAATGAATTGTGAGCAGTTTATTAAACAAGCCAGTATAGTATAAAATAAGAAAGTCAAGACAGATAACATGTAGACAGGAAAAGTAAAAGGAAATTAAAGTGAGAACTTGAGCCTACATGGCAGCTGTGTGACCAAGAACATTTACAAGAGGCAGGCCACACGTTTGGCTCTGTGGATTTTTCAAACAGGAATAATTTTTGGTTAAATCATTTACATAGTCCTTAGAATGTACCAAATGAATCAGCATCTCTGAGGGTGGAACTGGATGTCGGTATTTTAAAAAATATCTTCAGGTAGGTCCTTTTGTGAATCATTGGCAGAACTACTGAAATTGTTGTTCTGAAGAAGCAAAAAATTTCCAGATACTTGAGAACATTTATATTTCAATAATTCCCACATATATCTTCATTTCAAATGTTCAAGGCGTGATAACATAAATATTTATGTGAAGCCTCTTTATCAAATTGATTTCCCTCCAGATTTTACAGAACAGAACAAGCACCTTTCATTCTAATGAATGGTAGAAAAGAGAATATATTAATAGAAGAACAAAAGATTAGAAATAAAATGCTGTGGACACAGACAATATTTTGGTCACCTTGCAGTTTTGCTAATTCATCTTTAAGAGTCAATAGTGACTTACTGAGGGAAAAACTATTGTGTTCTGATCCCTACCCAGTCAGCTGCATCACTGACCTCCAGAAGTCACCAAAACTTTGCTATGACTTCAGCTTTCAAGGAGAAAAAAGAATTAACAAACACATACACATTACAAATAGTAAAAAGCATAATTTGTTGAGGAGGTGGATGTTTCAGGAAAAGCCAATCAAAATGCAAAGCCAAGTTCATTTGACACAGTTGTCATTCTTTCATTTCAGATTTTTTACCATTCATGAAAAGTCTTTCCTGCAATCCAATTTACATGCTTTTCATACTTATAAGTGTGATACAGTTTAATGCATTTGTTAACATGATCTCCTTCATGCCTAAATACCTGGAACAGCAGTATGGAAAATCATCTTCGGATGCGATCTTTCTAATGGGTATGTTTGTTTTTCTCTGCATTAGTAGTACACTTTTTTTTTTTGAGATGGACTTTTGCTCTTATTGCCCAGGCTGGAGTGCAATGGCATGATCTCAGCTTACCACAACCTCCGCCTCCTGTGTTCAACTGATTCTCCTGCCTTAGCCTCCCGAGTAGCTGGGATTACAGGCATGTGCCACCACGCCCAGCTAATTTTGTATCCTTAGCAGAGACAGGGTTTCTCCACGTTGGTCAGGCTGGTTTCAAACACCCTACCTCAGGTGATCTGCCTGCCTTGGCCTCCCAAAGTCCTGGGATTACAGGCGTGAGCCACTGCGCTTGGCTGAGTAACACTTTTTTTACCCATGAAGTAGTGAACAGTGCGATGGTGGGTGTAGCAAATTCCTAAGTTGATGTCTTTTAGAATATCTTTTGTTTCTGCTGCATTTCTTCCTTGTACTCTCCAAAAAAAAAAAAAAAAATCAAGAAAGGATAGAGAAGGGAAGAGGTCAGAAGTATCTTGACTTTCTTCTCTTCTGCTCTCTGAAGTTCAGAATGTAAATTCATAATATTTATGAAAACCTTGGGGAGTGCAAAAATTAGATATTTTCAGATAGTCAATCTATTAATTTAAAAAAGAAGACAGAGTTAGCTCATTAGGAGTCTGCATTTTATTACCAAATTTTACTCTTTTGGTTCCAATTCCGAGATTCTATATTCCTCCTAATTTAATCTTTTGGTCCCTCTAGCGGTTTTAGGTGTCTCTGCAGTCATACACATTCGGCTTTTCATGAAATCACACTAACCTTAGTGGTTTTACCCTAACTTGGGTTTTTCTTGGGATCTTTTCACTGTTTTGAAAAGTCAATAGCCCAGGCTACTTGTATCCACACTACCTAAAGTGCCTGTGAAAGCTTCAAATACCTGGGGTTCCCCCTCAGACACACTGAATTAGACTCCCTGGTGTGGGGCTCTGGAACGGATTTTTAACAAGCTCTCTCAGTAATATGATCCAGGGAGCCAGATGTTCACATTGTATGGATGGAACCTAGAATTATCTTCTCGTTTTTCTACTTTTTTTTTTTTTATCTTCTTGGGGAGGTTTGATAGAGGAAGAGTGCTGGCCGGTAGCAGCAAGAAATGAAATGTAAATACACCTGACAGCAACAGGCTCAACAAAGTGACTTTCTAAAGTATCTTGAACTGGGTGTGGTGGCTCATGCCTGTAATCCCAGCACTTTGGGATGCTGAAGAGTGAGGATCATTTGAGACAAGGAGTTCAAGATCAGCTGGGACAACATAGCAAGATATCATCTCTACATTTTTTTTTAAAAAAATTAGCCAGTTGTGGTGTTGTGAGCCTGTAGTCCCAGCTACTTGAAAGGCTGAGATGGGAGCATCCCTTAAGCCCAGGAGCTGAGGCTGCAAGCTATGATCATGTCACTGCACTCCAGCTTGGGCAATAGAGTCAAATTCTGCCTCTAAAAAATGAAACGTAAAAGCACCTTGAGAGGAGTCTAATTCTTAACCAAAGCGGGATAAGTAACTAAAAAATTATACACATATACACATACATATATATATGTGTGTGTGTGTGTATATATATATATTCTCATCACACAGGATGGAGGGTAATAAATGAAATTACTCGTCAACATTGGCTTGCCACTCCTGCCTGGATCCTAAGAAGAGAGATTTTTTTTTTGTCATGATCTCTGCCTAAAAGAAATTTGCAAGCTACTGCAATGAGTTAAATGAATGAAATATGATAGCAGCAGTCTCCCAAAATATACTTCCCCATCATAGGGCATTTCAAAATCTCCCTGTGGGTAATGTGTAACTAAGTGGGGATAAAATTAAATCGTTCTTCTTCACTATGAGTTGGACCTAAATAGTATATTATGTAAGATGTATTACATAAAAGTGATAATGTATTTGTTCCTTTGGTAAGTCATCTTGTAAATCATATTATATTTGCATTTATAGGTGTTTATAACTTACCTCCAATATGTGTTGGATATATAGTTGGTGGTTTAATTATGAAGAAGTTCAAGATTACTGTCAAACAAGCTGCCCACATAGGATGTTGGTTATCCTTACTTGATTATCTTCTCTATTTTTTATCTTTTCTCATGACTTGTGAAAATTCTTCAGTTGTTGGAATAAATACCTCTTATGAAGGGTATGTTGTTTTCTAATGAATGTAAGAGTATTTCAACAAACAGTTAATATTATATTTTTTACAATGGCAATGCATGATCACATCATTTGCTTATTGGAGTTAAGGTAGTCATCTCTGGTCTTCTTCATCTGCCAATCAAAAGCCAATCTATCCAAGCTCTAGGCTTAGTAAAGAGTTGGGGACATATCACAGGGTGAGTGAATTTATAATTGTATGTACATGTGGCTGTATGTGTATGACTGTCTTTGTGATATCAGAGTAGACATTATCCTATCAAAGAAACTACCTAGAGTTTTAGGTTGTATTAAAATATGTTATCTATATAACTTATATTCTCATACTGAGTAAAATTAAGAGCTGACTACACAGTCAAAATAACCTTTATATGTTTTCACAATAGGCTTCAGTTTGGTATAACTGAATCCTAATACGTGATAAATTAATTAATATATACAGTCATATATTTCATTTGTATTGCTATGTCTAAAATATTGAATAGTTTCATATTTTGTATTCTGAATGTTATCTGTGTTTTATTGAAAGGTTTCCCATAGTGATGTACATTCAAATAATTCACTTCCAGGGCATATTTTGATAATCAAGCCATCAGTTAAAATGAAATAAAGGACATCCTAAAATATTTTTTCAAAATTATTAAGGTTTATTAGGTTGAAATAATTTCAAATGTAAAATCATAACATAATTTTATGTATGCTATTTGATTTGAGACTCATAAACTTCATTTAAGATAAGCATTGTTATCTCTACTTTACAAATGAAATTAAGATTCAAAAAGATTTAATGATAAAAGGAGTTCATTTCAAATCTCTTCAACCACATCAGTATAAAAATGGATTTTAAAATTGGAATAAATTTTAAAGATTTTTTCCATCTCCAATGATGCTAATTCACAGACAGAATGTGTAGAAAGTCACACTGTGATCTAGTCTGAATTCAGTTTCTAAACTACCATGCAAATGCTCTTTCAATCACATTATAACCACTGGTCACTCTTGATATTAGTAGAATGTGTTTCTTTAATTCAAATATCTATGTTTCTTGAACTAAATGTATTATCTACATTATAAATGGAATTTGCAGATTTTATTTTCTCATGTTAGTCCTGTCTTGTTATTTGCTACCTAATGTATCAATCACAGAGGCTATGCGGTCATCAAAGCAGGTCTCTTTAATATCAGAGCTACAGTACACAGGCCACATATTGATGACTAGAAGATTTCTTTTTCTATTCATGGGAGGAGAGGAAAACTAGTTGGGGATTGAGATGAAAAGAAGAAAAAAATGATTGAATCATCTTTTAGTATCCATGACATTATTTTAAATCGTTTCAGAATTCAGCAAGATTTATATGTGGAAAATAACATTTTTGCTAATTGCAATGCGGATTGCAACTGTCCAACTAAAATATGGGATCCTGTGTGTGGAAACAATGGCTTGTCTTATCTGTCGGCTTGTCTTGCTGGTTGTGAGACATCCCTTGGAGCGGGAATAAACATGGTAAGACATCCTATTTAACGGAACTTTTTTGAGTTGTATTGGTACTTCCCAACTATGAACTGGGCCTGCATTTAATAAAGGTAAAATTAATATTTCCTTAAAACCAAATTAGTTTTTTTGTTTGTGGAAAAATAACTCTGTAATAGTCACTTGATTACCTTTTATTCCCAGATCTTATGTAAAACCTTCATAGCATCTGAACAATGATCTGAAATTTCCAAGCAGTTCATAATATTTCTCAAATAACTTGGGTTATAAATACTCTGGGCTAAAGCATTTTTATAATTGAGATAAAATTGGCAGTTTTGATTTCAATTATCCAGGTAATTGCCTTGCTATATATATATTTTTTTTTCTTGTGTATTTGTATGGATGTGCTTTCTGTGTTTTTCACACTCTTACAGTTATTTAAAAATTTAGAATTAAGAATGTTCTCTTGCCTCTAAGATATCACAATATAACCACAATATTAATAATCATATAATGTTGGTTAGTGACTAAGTAATAAATTGTAATTTTTATTAAGACCTGGAAACATAAAAAAAATTAACTCTGTTTTTGAAGTAAACTATTTCTTTTGAAGCAAAGCTTTGTTTATTTATAAGCATCTAAATATTTCAATTGAGCACTCTGGAACAGATTTTGTCGAATGTAGTGCTGTGTCAAAACAGTGTTTTAAAAAAGTGTGTATTTAGGGTAGCTTATCAGTTATTACAAATTTACAATATATATTTAGAAAAATATACCATTTTCTGAAATCACCCTTCCACGTTTTGTTACATGCTGTAATCTTGAGAGACATCATAATGGAGATGGAGTAAAGGGAACAAGCAGTCTCCATCTTGATCCAACTGGCTGTGTAGAAAATGTTTAAAATTTGTGTTCAAGATTTTTCTTGCTTAGGTAATATAATATATTATTTTTTGACAGGTGTTCCAAAATTGCAGCTGTATTCAAACATCAGGAAATTCATCTGCAGTTCTTGGGCTGTGTGACAAAGGACCTGACTGTTACATGATGCTCCAGTACTTCCTAATCTTGTCAGCAACAAGCAGTTTCATTTATTCTTTGGCTGCCATACCTGGATACATGGTTCTCTTGAGGTATAATAATTATTTTCTTTATTTAGATTTTTTTGGCAGGTCATTTAGTAAGGTAGCTTGTTCTAAGAAAGTCACTCGGGACTCATAGTAACTAAGAACTCAGTGCTCTAATGTGCCATTTATTAAGGGTTTTGTATTAAAGATTGTTGAATTTCAGAAAATTTTAAAGTTAGCAATGCATATGTTCATCTGCTGGCGTTTCACACCCTATTCCTCCCTATTTTTCTTCCTTATTTCTTAGAGTTAAATTAGTGGACCTCTCATTTTGTGACAAAAGAGGCACATTTTTATCTTAGGGTAGGACACATAAAATGGCCATTTTGATAGGTAAAGAGTGGGTGCTTGGCAGCCATTTCCTAGGGTTCAACCTATAGGACAGCAGTGCAAAGCTGTCTCTCACCAAGGTCACTTGATCTTTCTGAGCTCAATTTTTTTTAATAATAATGAGCATAATAATAAAAAATGCTCTTACAAGGCTACTGTCAGACATCAATGCTGAAGGACTTTCTAAAACTAGGAAATTTCAGAGCCAGTTTTCAAATTTAGGTATATTAAATAAATCTTCTTTCAACTACACCACACTTCACACCTAGTAAACAATCCTAAACATAGTTTGGATTTTTTTCTCTTCGTCTTTTGGAACTCAAAAGTAGAGTTGAGTTAATCACAATGCTCAACTCGTAACATTATCATAGGCCAGACCAAGGATTCTCTCTTATTTTGCTTTATTTATTTATTTATATTCAATTCCCTACTCCCAGTCCCCATAGGTGCTCACTTATGCTTACTTAAATGTGACAAAAAAGTCATTAAATATGCATTTTATTTGTAAAAAATTAAAGTTTTTTGGTGTATGTGTTTTTATATTCACACCAACAGCAAGTGTGCTACTAAGTCTTGTTTTGTTCATAAGGTAGATGCAGAGATAAATTTGCCAGTCCTACTAGTATTTAGAGTAATTTTCATATCATCACTTCATGAAAGTCGGAATTTTCTAACTTTGTGATGCTGACTAATCCAATGTGTGTAAAATGCTAATGACAGCTCATTGATGTGTTAATATGCGATTTCCTGATATACTGAGCTTAAACATCTCTTCAAACAACTTTTTACCTATTTAGACTTCTGATTCATGATGCTCATTCAATTTATTTTGCCAATTTTACCCATTATATTTCCTATCTCCTATGTTTTTCTTGATGATTTTGATGATTACTACGTAAATTACAGATATTAATGCAATATTGTTTATATGATACAATTATCTTCAGTTACTTGTCTGCTTTCTTTTAACTTTTACAATGCCATTTACGGAATGAAATCTTAAATTTTGTTGTACTAAAATCTAATGATTTTCTTGTCTTAGTGTTTGTGTATTTGGAAGAGAAATTACATTTTAAAATTGCTTCCACATTTCTAACTTATAAAAATATTCCCTTAAATTTTATTCCCTCCTAGATTTCCAGCTTTACCTTTTGCACATAGTTTTTTAGGCCATCTCAAATCTATTTTTATGTGTGGTTTAAGGGACATAGATATCCAGCGTTATTTTTCTCCAAATAATAAAGTTGTTTTCCAGAATCGTAGCCTATATAATAGATCCCTTTTCCTTTAATTTGTGGTGCCACCATCTCAAGTTTTTCATCCTTATTCTGTTCCACAGATTTATTTGCCTGTTTTCATACCAGTGTTACCTTGATTTAATTACTTTGGCCTTGCAAATGTTAATCTTTCATATGGAACTTTTTCTCAGCCACCTGTCACCTTTACTTTTCCTTTATTCTTTTTTTCTCAAACTAATTTAGCTGTCTGTGGATCTTTATACCTTCATAAGAATTTCAGTTGAGTTTTTGTAGATTCCATAGATTACTTGAAGAAAATCTGACATCAAACATTTTTGAACTTGCAATATCCTCGCATTACCTTAAATATTCCTTTCTATCCTTAAATAAATTCTTAAAAATTTTTCATAAAGGTGATGTGCCATTAGATTGCTTCTTAAGAACTGCACATGAATATATAACTTACATATGCACATATGTATACATATACATGTATATACATGCACACACACATATATACTACAGCCACACAGACACATACATACATGCTTACACATAAACACATAGTGAAAAAAACAAATGGTTTCTCTGTTCATACAGAACACTTCTGACAGCCAGATGTGTGGATTATTTTTCTACACTGACCGATTCTGCAACACCAGCTGGGTGTTCTACAGTTTCATTCAATTCTCGCACTATCTACATAGACTTTGCATCAGATTGCACAAGTTAAAGGGCTCAGTCCTGCAAGACTGCCCCCACTTTAGATGTCAATCACAAGTCCAGATGTCCAGACACCCTGGGCTTCTTTTTTTGTTTGTTTGTTTTTTACCCTGGGCTTCTGACTGACAAGCTATGCATTAGGGTTGACTCCTCCACATAATTTTCTAGAATGGCTCATAGAACTCAGGGAAGAAACACTTTACTTATATTTACAGGTTTATTATGAAGGTTATTATAAAAGACACAAATGGAAACCAGGATGGAGTTGGGGTGTGCCACTCTCCTGGCATGTGGGTATGTTTACCAACTCAGAAGCTCATCAAATCTCCCTGTTCAAGAGCTTTTAGGAAGCTCGATCTTTAGCACAAACATCCCACTCCATCCTCCTGGAGGTCTGAGTGTGGGGCTGAGAATTCCAATCTTCTAATAACTTGGGTTTTCCTGGTGACCAGGCCCAAACTCAATCTGGGGCCCCACCCTATTGTCTCATTAGTATAGACTTTGGTGTGATCAAAACAATTTCCTTAAGAAAAATCTTAATCTCCTTAAGTCAAAATATCACTCAGGATGTTCCAAGGGAATTCTAAGAACCCCAAGGATCTGTGCCAGGAGCTTGGGACAAAGACCAAATATATTTCTTATGATAAGACACACACACACACACACACACACAGAATGGTACCATTACCATCACAAACATACAATATACAAATATATGCATACACATGTAAATATTTGTGATTGCAACTATATTAGATATGAATATGTATATTTGCGATTTTAAATTGATTTGTGTTTGTATTGATTGTAAATATGTTTAAATTTATATTTTTATTGCTTATAAATAATTTGCGATTATTAATGTGATTGTACATGGTATTTTATATATATATGTATAAATGTGTATCATTTCCTCACATACAAATGTAAATTTTATATTTAGATTGTAATTACCTAACATAATTAAAATTATGCATAAAATAAAAGTAAAAATCAGATTTAAAATAATTATATAATCATATATAAATATACATTCTTCTTTAATTTTTAATTTTATGGGTACATAGTACCTGCATATATTTACGGGTTACGTTAGATAGTCTAATACAGGCATACAGTGTATAATAACTACATTAGTGTAAATGGGGTATCCATTCCCACAAGCATTTATCATTTGCTTACAAGAAATTCAAGTACACTCTTTTATTTATTTAAAAATGTACAATTAAATTATTTTCCACTATAGTCACTCTGATACACTATCAAATAGTAGGTCTAATTCGAATTCATTCTTTCCATTTTTTGGTGCCCATTAACTATTTCTACTTACGTACCACACTGAGGTTACCCTTTCCAGCCTCTGGTAACAATCCTTTTGCTCTCTATCTCCATGACTTCAATTGTTTTCTTTTTCTTTTTTTTTTTTTCTGAGATGGAGTCTCACTCTGTTGTCTAGGCTGGAGTGCAGTGGCACAATCTCAGCTCACTGCAACCTCTGCCTCCTTGGCTCAAGTGATCCTCCTGCCTCAGCCTCCCAAGTAGCTGGGACTACAGGTGTGCACCACAGCACCTGCTAAGTTTTGTATTTTTAGTAGAAATGGGGTTTTGTTATTTTGGCCTGGTTGGTCTTGAACTTCTGATCTCAGGAGATCCACTCACCTCGACCTTCCAAAGTGCTGGGATTACAGATGTGAGCCACCATGCCCAGCCTGTTTTCATTTTTAGCTCCCACAAAATATATGAGGACATGCAGTTTGTCTTTCTGTGCTTGGCTTATTTTACTTAACATAATGACCTCCGGTTTCATTCATGTTGCTGCAAATGAAAGGGTCTCATTCTTTTTTATGGCTGAATATTACTCCATCATGTATATGTACCACATTTTCTTCATCCATTCATCTACTGCTGAGCACTTAGGTTGCTTCCAAATCTTGGCTATTGTGAATAGTGCTGCAATCAACACGGGAGTGCAGATAGCTCTTTGACACACTGACTTCCTTTCTTTTGGGTATATATTAATACCTACAGGTGGGATTGCTGGATCATATGGTAGCTCAATTTTGAGTTTTTTGAGGAACCTCCAAACTGTTTTCCATAGTGGCTGTGCTAATTTACATTCCCACCCACAGTGTAGGAGGGCTCCCTTGACTCCACATCCTCACCAGTATTTGTTATTGCCTGTCTTTTTTATAAAAATGTTAACTGGGGTGAGAAGGTATCTCATTGTTGCTTTGATTTGTATCCCTCTGATGATCAATGATGCTGAGCGCTTTTTAACATAACTGCCATGTATATTTCTTCTTTTGAGAAATGTCTCAAATTTTGCTCATTTGCTAATTAAATTATTAGATTTTTTTCTGTAGAGGTGTTTGAGTTCCTTATATATTCTGGTTATTAATCTCTTGTCAGATGGGTAGTTTGCAAATAATTTCTCTCATTCTGTGAGTTGTCTTTTCATCTTGTTGATTGTTTCCTTTGCTGTACAGAAGCTTTTTAACTTGATGTGATCCTGTTTATCCATTTTTGTTGTTGTTGTTAGTTATCTGTGCTTGTGGGAGTATTACTCAGGAAATCTTTGTTCAGTTCAATGTCCTGGAGATTTTCCTGAATGTTTTCTTGTAGTAGTTTCATAGTTTGAGATCTTAGATTTAAGTCTTTAATCATTTTGATTTGATTTTTGAATATGGAAAGAAATATGGGTCTAGTTTCACTCTT